AGCAGAAGTCGGAGGCAGGCGGCAGTCAGGCAAGGTCAAGGAATCCGGTCGATGATGATACGGCAACAGGCAAGATACAGGAACATACACTCAAGCTGAAAGACCACTCAGCAATGATCCTAGGAGTTGGGCCAGCTTAAATAGGATCATTCCCAGACAGAGCAAATCACTTCCTGTGCGCCATGTGCGTGCGACCTCGCACATCCGGGTGCAGCTTGCGCATTAGCTGCAGCTTGCGCATGCGCAGTAGCTGCCGCATGCGCAGTAGCCACCGCTTCCCGCAAATGTGTTGAACAGGCCTATGCGCATGCGCAGTCGTAACTCTGCTGTTAGGCATGGTCTTGCACCCTCCTCTACCCTGCTGCCCATAGACTGCCATTACCAAAGTTTACTTCCCCTATAGAGTACTTCCCTTTCACTTCCTGCCTGAGTGACAGTGGCCACCCAAAGGGGACACAAATGACAATTTTATATGTGACCGAGCTGCTGAATCTTTCCTTTGCATCCAAAACTAAAGCAAAATTTGATTTGCATTTTTGTTATATATAAATATATATAATACACCTGTGATAATTGAGTAGCGTAACCCAAACCATTGCACATTAAATTGAACATCTTGTTTAAAATGTTGCAAAAGTGTGGGATCACTTTAAGACTGAAGTGCTCCGGCTTGTTCACGGAAGGTATTTAAAAGATCTGCAACTTAATTTTAAGAAATAACCTAGGTAATCATTTGATTAATTGGAAAGTATGGTGCTTAAATGTGCCCGCAGTTAACTTCTTTTCCTTCAGCTCTTCCTTCCCGCCCTCTCTTCCTTTCCTCTCTTTCACTCGTGCTCATTTTTCCCCCTCTTCTCCCCTCCCCACTTTAGTCCCATTCAGGTGTAAAGTGTGCTTGTCTCACCTAGCTGGAAAGACCAGATTCCTCTCCAAATGCAGTGCATGCTGGGTAACGGCTGTTACACCTCTCACCCCTTTCACTTGAGTTAGAGACAGAGTGCAGACAAGTACAGTGGCACTGTGGCAGGACATGTTACAGAGTGAAGCTGCACGCACATACTACATAAATATACTTTTATGTGTGAGATGTAGGGTGCATTTGTCTTTTTCAGCATAGCAAATGTTAATCTTGTGGGTGGCCCTACCCTGTCCTATCCTGTCATGAGATAGTCATATGGGAGTTTTGGTTGTGAGCCAGGGGAAGCATTAAGTAAGGAAAATCTTCATGCTTCAGTGCCGGGATGTCAGAGTTGCTGCTATATGAGCAATGTACAATATTTATATCCATCGCATAACATATGCATTAAGACTTTTGCTACCAGAGCCATTTTCATTTCTCTATTCTGCGAGGGACACGGCTCTGAAGAATTCTGAGAAGTAGGGTTATGCTGCTGCCCCCGGAACAATTGGACACTAGGCAAAAATATTAAAAGCCTGTCACTTTAAAGAAGAACTCTGGCTAAAACTTTTATTAACCCTTGCAGTGGGGCCACCCCATGCACTGCAAAGGTCAGCTGCATTTTCTTTTTGTCTAGGTGGTAAACTAAAGTTATCCTCACCTTAACCTCGGAACCGGCTTGCTTTTAGACTGATCCCTGAAGCCTCTCTTCCCTTCTACTGTAGTGGTCTAAGGTCCTATAAATCATCAGTGTATAGACATGGGGACACTGAGGAACATACCAATGCAGCACTGTAGGAGGAAACAGGCTTCTGAGACGAGTATAACTTTTTTTTATACATATACCCTCCCACCTCATACTTGCCAGTTTTGCTTAGTGTCCTCAGGAGACTGAATGTTTCCTGATCTTCTGGCTTATTATTTTAGTTTTATTTTGTTGAAGATTCTACTACCGAGAGCTGTTAGCTTATTCATATCGGACATTATGAAATCCTGGGAGTCTCTCCTGCTAGCTGACAAAACTAAGAGATTTGTGCTGGATAAGTTAAATCTAAAAGCAGTCCATCTGAGGAGACACGCTTCATTGATCACAGATGCAGGGAGCTGGCTAAGATGGTCTGGGATGTATAACTTTTTTTTTTGGCACCTAGAGCATTTAATCCTTGCAGTGCAGGTTGGGTTGGAGTTGTAAGTGGGTGGGTAGCCCCACTGCAAAGGGTTAATAACATTTTTAAAAGGGAGTTGTATCTGTTCAAGAAGTACAAAAAAAATAAAAATACTCGTTGACTTATTTCCTGTACTCTCTGCCTCTGTTGCACTGCTATTAGTTACACCGCAATCTCTTTGGACTAAAACACTTCCTCCCTATGTTATGGAGCAGGGGAGATGTTCTGTAGTCTTTAACACATTTCCTGTTCTAGGGTGACCAGAAGAGTGTTATCACCCTAGGACAGGAATTATGTTACTGGCAGGATCACAAGGCAAAAATCATTGATTAATCACAATCATTTTTCATCAGCAAGAAAGTGAAATGTTAATGTTACGTTGTCTCAGTGGCACCGTGGGTCCTCTAGCATATCCCCTTTGATTACTTTGACTACTGTGCTTCTTCAGAGTCTGTCTACAGTCCATGACACCATCCCAAACCTGCCGCGACAAGTTCAGACACAAGCATCTAACAATGGCCTTCTCAGTACCACGGCTCTCTACTCAAATAAATTTGTTAGCTTCTAGCTTTAGGTTTTATGGATAATCCTTCTTCAAAGGCTACACATTCAGCCTTGGGTTCCTTCAGTCACGCCACTGAAAATATAGATGGCTCCTGCCTCAGTAGAGCTACTTACAAAAAAGGTTTTTTTTCATTGAGATTGCTGGATGAAGTTAGAGGAATGAACATATACTGTTGACAAATATCTACACCCACAGGGTTCTTTACAGAAGGGTGAAGAGTTTGGAGAAGGCAGGAGAAGTGAACAATTTAGGACAACATAGCTGATTTGGAAAAATTCTCCAAATCGGCTCACTTTCCAGTTCTGCTATGTTGTCCTAGATTGTTCACTTCTCCTGCTTTCTCCAAACTCTTCACCCTATTGTGAATAACCCTTCTAATCACTAAAATCTTTTATCACCTTTCACATAGTGAAAATTTAATTTTTAAATATTTACTATTTATGAATCTATAGTTTTAATATTCTACCTGTTAATCCTGCCATTGAGTACCCTTTGCAGCCACTTCCTGTTATAGGGTGACTATGATCTATCTCTATCCCAGTTGCTCTCCTGGGTTGTCACTTTGTTCCAGTGGGGACTGCAAGCAGCCACTCTGATGCAGTTTACACAGGCATAGTCTACTGTTGTCGCCACCATAAAACCTGTCCTGAGCAATGAGTTAATTCTTGTAGACAGAAAGTGGCGGTAAAATAGGCTGCAGGAGATCAGCAGTACTGATATGCAACGGAGGATGAAAAAAAACCAAGTAAATCCCGAGTATTTTAATAAAAAACACAGCAGTGTTTTATGATGCACCGTGCTTTAAGCAAAGGAAATATTTTCTAGTTAGGCCTAATTTACACGACCAGTGAGGTCTGGACAGCCGATTTCTGTGGCAAGACTCGTGGTTTGTTGTGGCTGGAATCTCAGGTGGTTGTGGACAGCTGCGCCCGGGGAAGCCTATACAAAGCATTGAGAGGCTGACAGGAGCCGCTATGCATCCAGGGCCAGTCATCTGTCTCTAACCGCAGGTAACCTCTGGATGTGCAGATACCTATGAACAGTGGTGGACAGCCACAACCGTCCAGCCAGGCTTCCATGCCGCAGCTTTCCGCAACCAAAGGTGATACGCAAGAATCCGCTGAATCCCCCTTGCAGGAATCTGCTGTTCGGACCCTATAGGACATGTGAATGAGGCCTTAAGTCTACAATTAGGTCTTGTGCATATGGGTGGCTGAGCCCATGCAAGGCATTTCCCTACACCAGGCAGCCACAGGTGCCGTTTACAACCTCCTATAGAAGTCAATGGCTGTACATGGGTAATCGCGGGTATTTGCACACAGCCTCTTATGCGTACGGATGCTAATTTGGACGCAGGTATTCTGCTGTCCATGTGCATGAGTCCTCACATTTACTGACTGATTAGTAAATGGGTCACTAGTGACATGTCCATAGGCTTTACGTGTGAATGGCAAAGCTGGGTACTGACGCATGGAGATTTTTTTCGATCAACCTGTGAGGCTAAACAAATACTTTTTTTTACAAATGTATTATTTGGTTAGGCAAGTGATCGCAAAATGCATTAGTCCTTTAGTTGAGTACTAAATGGTTGCCATGAGTTACTGCACTTTGTGTATCCCCTCTTTTCTTTGTGCTGCCTTGCTGTATATACATGCAAATCTCTTCTAGCAACAACCAGTATATATTCTGGAAGCCCGGGATGTAAACAAAGATATTCTTTACCACAATATATTATTGAAAGTTTCAAGTAAATACAGGGGTGACAGCTTAGCCCCTATTCACACCATAGCATAGCGGGAACACACGTTGCACGTTTCCTGGGCTTTTGTTTCCCACATTTGTTGAGCATTCTCATTGATTGCAGTGAGCTCCTGGATACACATCAAATACGGGAAAGTAGTGCATGTAGAAAATTCTGCAACATGCGTTCCATGTTTTTCCCACTGCATGTTCATGCACTCTCACGCGTACAAACACGTGGGATAAGAGCGCGTTTTCCAGGCCACTTTTGGGGTGCCATAAACTAGTAATGGCACCGCAAGCGCGTTTTGTGTTCACAATACACTATTGTGTGAATGGGGACTCAGGCATATCCCGAGCGAGTGCATGGATGATATTATAATATATAAGATAATATTGCTGATACACAGAATGTGTAAGAAAAAACAAAAGTTAAAATGTAAATTTTAGTTAATTATTGTCACCGTTTTGTGAAGCATTATAATAAACATGTGACATAAGTAGAAGGTTTGGGCAGTGATCTTATACCCATTTTATTGCATACCTGTTTAAGTTATAGTTCCTTTTGTACCAATATGAACATGAATCCTTAATAATGATGGTACTGGTTAAATAACGTTACAAAGGTTACCTGATAAGGGCCCGGTGGGGGTCGGTATAACCCCGGGTTTGGTACTCTCATCATGTGCATCTGGTTTCCAAGAGGGAGGGGAAGACCACCCCTTGCGGACATTGAGGAAATAAAGGGGCGATCCCCCTGTCAGTGGGCTTCTTGGTCACTTATATTTCCAGGACAAGTCTTGCGAAGTCTCTTTTATTGGCAGCGTACACCCTTCCTCCGTGCTGCCTCTCCTTTTCTGTAACTTTTTGTTGCGTGTATCGCTGGCACCCTCCTCCTAGGTATAATAACCACTTCTCTTCTTCCTGGAACTCTGCCTCCCACAGTGTTACTACTGCTACCTTTCCTCTAACCTTCTGTTGTATTTTGTGATCCTTCCATGTGTAGATTTCAAGCTCCGATCAGCCTGTCCCGCAAGTCAGTCCTCGGTGCAGCCAGCTCCGATGTGTAACCTTTGTGCACTTCAAGCCCTGATCAGTCTAGCTTCCCCCGCATGTAGGTTCTTAAAAGTTGAGCCACTTCCTATATGTATCTTCTGTGCAGATCAGCCTCTTGTGTGTCTCTTCTGTACGGTACAGCTTCATGTGTATATAGCCAGCATTCTGCACCCTCCTGTTGTATGTGTTGCGCAGTGCAACCCCCCCACTGGGTAACTTGTGCTGTGCAGCTTCTTCCTACTGCTGTTAGTCTCATAGGAAGTTATTGGAAGGTTTTTCTGTTGGTGTCATCACTTCCAGAGAGCTGTTTTGCAACAAGCCTCCCATCTCATCTCTGCCCTCCCTTTTTTACCCCCTCTCCTCCTTTCCTTATCTCTCTCCTCCCTTTTTTTCAGCTTCCCCTCCTTTTGGTTACCTCCTCCCTCTCCGTGTTCTTTAATCTTAGCCAGCCCTCTCTCCTCCTCTCACCCCTTGTTTCTGCCACACCTATCACGCCCCTTGTGTGTTTGCCCTCTTCTTGCTCAGTCATCTGTCATTTGGCTAGACTTTCATCTCTTTCCCTCCACTCATCTGCCTCCCTCCTTTTTTACTGGGTTTCACTCTACCTGTCTTATGTGTGCTCTGTTATCTGTCACTCCACCCTTTGCCTGCCCTCTAACCCCCTTCTCTGTTCCTTCCCTTATTTTCTGTTCCATGTGCTCAGCAGACTTTGATCTGTTTCTGCCCTCACCTCCGCAGCGCTGGTTCTGATTGCTGGAAGAGGCGTGCATGCCCCCAGTTTTTTTTGTTCCGTATGCATTTCACATTGCTAACAACTTGACTCCCACATAGATTCTGTGACTCATTGTTGCTGCAGTCGTGTAAAATAGTATAGCTTTCAGTTTTTGGGTGCATAAGCATTCTGTTTTGTTTTTTTATGTCCAGCATTGTATTGGCAAGTAGGCAATTTATAACACATGAAACTTACAGGCATCAAGATATATTGTTGCCCTTTGCAGGGCTTGTAATATAGAAAGTACCCATGCAGGTATCAGTGTTTACAGGCAGCACTGATTGCGTTTTGTGTATAAGGTACTGTGTGTTGTCTGGGAAGATAGCCATTGGGAGAAAATTGGTCAATGTGTACTCTGATCACGTGACTGATTCTGTTAGTGTACGTTACTGCATCTCGGATTCTGAATGGCTAGATCCTTTAGATCGGGCTCAATGTATATGTATCTATGGGCTAAGTGGCTTCATCTGCTGCTGTGTAGATGGCTATAAGCAGGTCAACTTAACTTATTTAATTGGTGGCTCTTTGGAGACTGGCATTGCAAGAAATTCTGCAGGTTGTGTAACCTGACCTTCTGTTCATTCCTGCTAAATATAACAGAATAGAAAATTATAGCTCAGTGTTCCCACAACGGCCTCACGGCAGGGATGGACCAATATTAGAAGCCTGGAACCCATTGCACCAAAAAAAAAAACTTCTGTTGGCCTTTAGATTGAGAGACTGGCTTCTAAGCTGTACATTAATTTGCCCTGCCCTGCTTTTAGTGGATTTCACCTGACAAGCGGTGAATAATAGATATGCACATCCCTTGAGGGTAGCTATTGTCTGATTGTTCATTTCCAAATTATCATCCCTTCCCTTGTATGCTTGGCTATAAGCTAAATGCAGCCTGCAGATGGTGGCTAGATCTTAGGAAGTAGTCAGACTGCAGAGGCATGCTTTTGTCTTTTGTCTTGGACGTACGGGTTCAGTCATGTCCTATTGAGTGTTTGTGTGCAGTGTATGCCACGCTTATCTGTGTCCTAATGATTGAGAGCAATAGACCGCATCACAATAACAAAGATTTTTCGGCACACACTTTTACAATCTGCAAAGAGGATGTGCCTGCTGTGAAAAAAAGAAAAAAAAGTGGTCTGAAGGTCCATTCATGGAAAAGCAACAGATTTTGCTTTAATCTCTCTTCCATTTCTTTTCTTTCTCTTCCCTGCCACTCTGAGAGCAGATGGAAATACCCAGTACTTCTGAGCATTGAGGATCATGGGATTCACTCCACTGGACAGCACTGGGCCAATCGCAACTTTCATAAGAGGAATCCATAGCTCTGTGTAAGTTACTCCAGTGTCTTGTAGCTCACACAGGGCTTGCCTTTTCTCCTGGGGGCTAAACAGAGCAGCGGCTAAGTGAATGAAAGATAAGGATGTGATGCTGGGCAGGTCCACATTCAAAGTGAATCCTTTTCTTTGGCCTGGGCGGCCACACTTGTCAATTGTACAATAGATTTACAAATCAACACCTAGTGCGTGGGCCTACCTGAACAACCTTTTCAATTAACCACTTCAGTACCGGCATGTTACACCTTCATTACCAGGCCATTTTTCAGCGCTGTGCACGTTTGGCTGAGTATTCCTCCGTCACACAACACTGTAACAAAAATCATTTTATATAATTTTTGGGGGGGAACAAATAGAGCTTTCTTTCAATGGTATTTTTGATAACCATTTTTTAATTTTATTTTTACTATATAAAGTAAAGATCAAAAAAATTAGGGAAAAAAACTGTTACTTTTATAAATCATAGCAAATACAAATGTCAGGACAGTATAAAAATTAGACATGTGTGATTCGGTACGTTCCGAAATTCGTTTTGGACAAATTTTCGGAAATTGGGAGATTCGGATTCATTCGTATTACAGCTAAGACGAATGCAAACAAATCCGAATTCCCGATTTCCCGAAATTCGGGTCTGGTATGAATTGGGGGGGAACCTCACGTGGGGTTCCCCCCAAATTCCATACCAGAGCCTTAAGGTCTGGTAGGAATTTTAAAGGGGATCCCAGCCCCAAAACAATGGGGGGGGAAAAACTTGGTGTCACCCCTAACAGTACTACCAGACCCTTGATCCGAGCACTGGCAGGGCAGGAAAGTAGGGGGGGGGGGCGA